TATCATTCTAACTTTTAAATGTAAAATGTATGTTTAGGTTAATTATTTTAGAATTATGAATCCTAGATTCGATTTTTTTATTTACTATAAGGGTATTATACTGAATTTTTAAAACATAATAAGATACGTATCTACATTAGGTTCGTCTTTTTTTTAATATATAGAAAAAAATAAGTATTTATTTTTTGTATTTCCGACTTCTATATGAAATGCATTCACGAATGTCATCTAAAAATACAAATTATCAATAACTTTTGTCAAAGGAACTGTATAAAAGTCTGGTAAAAAATATATGGTGGTTCACAGTTGACACGTGGTGTGAAAAAAAAAAATGTTGACATTAACCTAACCGTGAGTCCGTAGCATTATCCGTTTTTTACTTATCACACGTGGATAACACACTATCGTACATAAATAAACAACGATCCGTGAAGTGACATCCTGTCGATTTAATCCCAACCAAAAACTACAGAAGCCGTTGGAGTGTCGTAAATGGGTAAAACACGTGAAATAAGAACGGCACGTGTAATGTTCCGAAATGGATAAAATTACCGGACGTATACAGTTTACCGGTATCCGTGAAGTGCCGCTGACAATAATAGACAGTTGATACGTGCAAACTGGTGGAAATCGGCTCCTAAAAATAATCAGTTGTAATAACGTATAGCGTGTTTTATCGAAGTCACCGCGTATAACTGCTGGGGACTTATCTATTCCGCCAAAAAAGCATGTACTTCACTAACAAGATAATCTAATTTTACCATTTTAATATTTTATTCATCAAATCACCTATAATGTGTAATATATAAAAACTCAACACGCATATTAAATATTTTATCCTTGATTATATCGATTGTGATATTGACTATAAAATAAATATAGAAAACCATTATTTGGTAACCGAAAGTTGATTCATAAATGAATTATTCTCGTATTTTTAACATTATCTTATAGTAATTATGATACCATAATATCATAATATGTGTATTTTTTTCGCTATGTGTTTAAAATTTTATGATTATGATCACGAGTAGTGTTTAAAACTGCTTGTTAGGTTAAGGCTACCCGTACTGGCGAAATCGATGAATCTTGTAACCTAATGAAAATATCACTGACGAAACAGATGAAATCCCGAATCGCTGTTTTCGATTATTCTATGATTTGAGCTAATGTTAACATGCCAATTGAATATTCTGAGTTACCAATGATAGTATTATTTTTTAATTTTAATTCAACGTCCAATTACGCAGGACTTCTGAATCGGAGTAGTGTACTCTGATAGTATGCACTCGTTCATAAAACATATAAACATCTCGAATAAAATACGAAATTAATTGTTCCCGCTAGAAAACGTTTTACGCATACGTAAAGCAATATAATTTGAAGAAAAAAACGACACAAATTTTACGAGCCAATAAAAATATTACGGTTTGGTAGCGTGTTTATCAATCAACGTAAATTAAAATAGCGTTATTTTTCATCGTAAATGAAAAAACATCGTAATAAATTAAACCTAACGTCCAATACTCTTTCGACCGACATGTGTACAGTTTACGTATTTTTTTTTTTTTTATTATTTTTTTAATTTTAACATCGCGTTATAAATTAAATGTATTTAATTTAATTTTATTAAATTCACGTACCGGCAGGAAAAGTTTCGCAGCAAGAAATTGGATGTTGTTATGTTAGTCGAAGGAGTTCAATTTTCATTAAAAAAAAAAAATCGACCGTACGATAGGGCTGTGTAATACGTAATATTATAATGTTTCACGCCCCACCAAAGTGATTCCCGAACGTCGTATACGACCACGGGACGGAGTACAGACCCGTAAATAATGTTGCCTATCAAAATAAAATGCGGCTTTCGCATCGAACGTTTAACGGAAAAATCGATCGATAATACGCAGTGTTACCAATTGGATTTGTCGGAGCAATCGAATCGCGAACACACCGACCGAGGGTCGAATAAAATTATTACGCGTGCAATTCGAAATGTATTTTTTATCCCGGGGAAAAGGTTATCAATCGCATATTTTATCGTTCGAAAAAAAAGAAATTACAAACCTTTCGCGAACTCGCGCGCGGCCGTCGGTACCCCGCCCTAACGTCACACCTCTTAGCGATCGGATTTTTTTTTTTTTTTTTGCTCATTCCGCGTACGTACACGCCTCCGGATTATTTAATTAGACGACATCGGAGTTGCGGTACACAACGAGTGATTGGTTTTATCGGGTGAGGGGTGTCCGTGCCGTCACTTCTTCAAACGTCCCCCGCGTCCCGTCGCGGCCACGTCCGTCCACGTAATAGAGTTTCGCGCGTGTAATTACCGCGCGGCGAAAACGTGTGCGCCGAGGCAATTAAAGAGGGTGGAACTACGGTCGGGGTGCACGCAACACGCGCACGTATTCGGCACTCGTGGTCCTCGTCGGGAGGGTGGCGGCGCGAGGGTGCAGCAATACACACCCGTAGTAATAATAATCGTAAATAATGGGCACGCGAAACCCGTACGAAACCGTACGACCCGTTGTCGTCGGCATCGGTCTGCCGAAACATCGTCATGCGAACTATCGATTTCCCCGTGTCACGAGTGTTCCGCGAGACCGGAACCGCGTCCGTCGGGACGATCGCGACGAAAACGGAATACGTGCGCTCGAGAACGGTGCACGTGCGTGCGTGCGTGAAAAAAAGTTGCTTTACGCGCGGTTGCGGACAGGGCCGCCCCGAAGGGGGGTCCGTGTGAGGGGGGAGGGTGTCCCGCTCCCCCGACGAAAACACCAGTCGGCGGTCGGACTCGTTTCGTTACAGCCCAGAACGACCTAATTTCACTTACGGAAAACAGATATTACACGTTTCGTGTGTACACGAATAAAATTTATTAAACTGTACCTACTTATTGTGCAACGTAAAATATTATTATACGTGTACGTATACGTGTAATCAAACTGTCAGTATTAAGAACGTGCGACACCGACACACATATATACATGTTGAAAATACGACTGCGTACGAGTATACCAGTTGACTATACCACCCGGACTGAGTAAAAAAATTGTAGTCGGCATTTTTCATATTATTCACTCCCCCCCCCCACCCTCCTTGATTTTCATCTCCGCGACGGCCATTGGTTCGGACCTGTGTGTCCGAATTAAGCTCGGCACGACAGTACCCGCAACGTTACACCGCGGTAACTGGTGCGGTCGTTCGCGTTTCGTTTGTCCGTCGCGTACTTCCGGTATTTCGAACGCACGCGCCGGACACGGCGGTGCACGCTCCTAGACCGCGAAAGATGCGGAAAGGTGTGCACGTATACCTGTGCAACGCACCGCGCGCCGCATGTGCGCGTGTTAAACCGCTGACGGTAACGCCGCCGTTGCCACCCCTTTTCCCGAGTCGTGTAACTGTCCTACCCCACGGCGACGTCGACTCGTGAGGGGCGGGTTTTTTTTTTGTCCCCATTGAAAACAACGGCGGCGGCGCGACGCAGGCGACGACAACAACAAAGTGCCCTTTTAAACCCCCCTCCCCTTCGTGTGCGCGCGGCGGAGAAGGATTTCGCCTAATAACCCTGTTTGTGTTACGGACGAGTGGGGCCCCCCCTCGAAAACCCGCGGGTCTTTTTGCCCGCACACAACGCACGCCCGCCACCGCGCGCCATCGACTGCCAGACCTTAACCCTGAAAGCTGTAGCGATGATGCCCCGACCTAGAAACCCGAAACGAGTTCGTTTACCTGCTCAACGCATTTGAAACGATTTCAACCAGACTCGAGCTAACGTTAAACTATCTCGCTTACCCGTGTACAGGATTAATAATATTACCGTTCACGATGCAGTGTGCGCATATGGACACAAGAGCAACATGAACGCTCCGACACACCGATTGATGATTGACTATCGTTTTACTTGTAAAAGAAAAAAAATAGGGCCACGTAACGTAGTTTTTGCGGAAAACCGTATCCTAAGTGTTGGCATTTTGAAATAACGAACGTACTTAGATATGGTTCCGGCCGTTAGCAGAAACCGTACCCAATGCACACGAGGGCATACCATTGCACACCCCCTTGAAAATTGATCGGCAACGGAACGCTTGCGTGTATTCCATTTACGGAGTACGTTTCGAATGTACCGCGAACGAAACTAAAAACCATTGGGATCCTACAAGTAAAACGTGGATAGTTCAAAACCATCTCGACGTGGAAACTTAACTTATGCTATGCTAATCACACCTAATCAGTATTTGTAAATGATTTGTGTGCATGCGCGAAATTCGACGTGTATAAGCGCTAATGATTTAGACTGATTCGTATTTTAATGTTCGTACATGTTCCGGAATACTCCTTTGATTCACGTTTATTCGCATTTTTAGACGAATAAAAAGGATGATCATCCACCAAAAAATGCAACATTAGTTTATTAACAGCATTGCGAAATGTGAAAAAAGGTTTTCAAAGTAGTGGCGATCTACGAAAAAATACGGTTGGGGATGAAAAAAAATTTAGGTATATGAAAAAAGCTATAACCATATAGTAATCCTTCAGTTTTTTTAACTCCTCGCGAACATGATTATTAACAAATATTCTACACAAACTCAACGAAAAAATATACGTGATTTAAAATTACTCTGTAAAATGTTTGTGCTTCAACTGCCATCATTCTGTGTAAGTATTATTTTTCGACTTTCCTGTATAAAATTACGCAGTATTCGAGTAGTTACCATTCGGTACACTAGATGTCAGTACTCCACTACTACGCTACGGACGACCATAATAATTTTAATGTTGTATTTTTCACAGTCTTAATTCATAATTTCGATTCCGTTTCAACAAGACAAAGATATGTTCGCCTCGTTTGATTGAGAACGCGACCGTGAAACCGTTATAATCGATACACATTGATGAGGAAGGGGGGGGTTGTTATATCCATAAAAAACACCCAAAGCACCCGTAAACAGTAAAAAAAAAAAAAAAGTAAAAACAAAACCAAAAAAAAAATAAAAACATACCGCTCGACTTCCTTTTCCACGCCCTCTTCGATTTTCCCCTCGAGGATAGGATTCGTTGGTCAGATATAAGAGGTGCTGAAACAATAGTTCATAAATTCAAATAAATGAAAATAAAAATAAAGTTCAAAAATAACATAAACAAATTGAAAACAAAACGAAACATAAATATACTATACTAGACGCAGCGCATACATAATGATCGCGTACCTAAAGCACGGACTCGAAGCGGTCGCGCCGTTTAATAGGTAAGAATAAAATCAATGTTTTCGCTTACGATTTTACAATAACGGTAATAATGATTGTTAATATTATAATCTACTGACGACGTCACCGTAATATATAGTTGGGAGTATATCACTGCATGTGATTATACACGTTTCAACGTACAAACAGTGAATGGAAACTATTATCCAATCAGTCTATAATTTCTACAATTTATCGATGTACGGGAACACGAGCGCGAGTCTATATGGACTTAAGCGACAGTATGTTATTGGCATTCAGTTTATCATCGCACGACCTGGAAAGGGATGATTCGATGAACGTCGCATGCACATCATTGAATGTACTGTACGTGTACGTATATTTCAGTTGAACGGGTCAATTATTAAATTGGAAGACTCGCTGCAGGCGCGTACATTAATTCCCGGTCGGTACATACGTATAGTGCTCGTTGTACGTGCACAGTGCACGTCGGACACAATCGAAGTTTTAACGAAACTCTCGACGAATTTTTTTTATGGGATCGTGACGTTTTACCGGTAAAATACATTTCTACTTAATGAATTACGATACGGGTTACTATTTTACATATTATCGTTGTTATTCGCATACGTTTCGTACGGTGAAAACGTGTTTTTAAGTGAAATAAATTGTATTCGATATTTTGATTTCGATGAAATTTTTATTGAACGATGATTTTTCTTTTTTCCGAAAAACCGTGAAATTCGTTAAAAAAGGTTTGACCGTATGCATATTACAAAGAGATAAAGATAGACAGACAGAGAGAGAGAGAGAGAGAGAGAGAGAGAGAGAGAGAGAGAGAGAGTAATTTATGTTAAGAATCAACGTCGATGCGAGTATTACGTGTTTACTTTTTTTTTTTCTGTTCCAGGGGTCCGCAAACCACGGACGGCGAAGCGTCGGTGAAACTTCACGACGGCAACGGTCCGCTACGTGTAACGCAGTTGTCGTTGGGGTGCGCAAAAGTGCGCGCTCGCACGCGCAACCGTAGAAAATCTAATTTTAGACCACCGTTTTTCACGTGCCCTACGGCCAACGTGAGCGTTCATCGTCGTACAGACGGGCGCGCGCGTCTGCTACCGCAACCACGGTAAGGTCATCGCGCGCGTCTACCGTCGCACATGTCAGTCTGGGTATCGTGTGCTCGCGTACCGTATAAGTTATGTACACGTACGAACGTATTTTTATAGTACATGCATAACGAGTACGTGTACGGTATAGGTATACATTGTACTCGATTACTGTGTACACGCCGTACGTGCGCGAGCGTGTGTGTGCGTGTGTACGTATTGACATCTGGCACCCATCTGCCGCGCGATAATATAATTATACTGTATATGTATACGGTGTGGTACGACTGAACGAGCCGTCGCCTCCGCCGCCGGAGGTGGAGGGAAATTTTTTCTCATTATTCGCACGCGGATCGCGATGATCGATCCGCTAACCCTTTTTCTCGGTCGCGGAACGGCAAACATTTGATTAAACTGAACACGTACAAAGTGATCGGACGAGAGAGGCGCACTGAAGATCATCGACTCGTGAACGGCTAAAACAAGGAGGAGAAGTCGAGTGTTTTGTCAACGGTTGTTTTTGATGGCCGAATTTCGTTGGTGAAAATCAATAAGATTTTATTTACCGGACGGGTTAGGTACATCGTTAGGGTTCGACAACCGAATCCACTGCAGTTTACCTGCATGCTGATGACAAGACAACGGTAACTAGAAACAATTGAACTTTACCATTCCGATACATCTTTTTTCAGTTATTTAGTCATAAATCGTGGGTTTTTTTTTTTAAATTTCCCATTTAAAATTTTCCGAACCGTAATCTTTCATTTGTCAATGACCTCGTAAATCATATGTTGCAACAAAAGAATTCGTTTTCTAGCGTCTTGCGTGTTAAAATGTAAAAAATCTTCGTTCAGCGTTCAAGGGTTGATTATATATGATTGTATATCGTATGCAAAACCAAGCGTGGATCGATAAGTTTTGATCAGGGATTTACGAATGGCGAGCAGCGACCCAATCCGTTTAAGCCGACCATGAAAAGCGATATCACGGTTCAGCGCTGGAAAACAGCGAAAGCACACCCTGAAGCGGCATGCCCATTGTATATCGTACACGATCGCGGTACGTTCGTTGCGAACGTTTCCGGTTAACGCGTTGTCACAATCGTTATTTATTTGTTTTTCGGGGTTTTTTTTTTTTTTTAATTTAATATTTAAGATCGCGATATTATTACTACTCCGCCGGCTCGTGCGCGCACCGTGTACACGGACGATAAATAACATTGTTTCGGCCGACGTCGCGGTGACTCAGCCGCCCCCCCCCCCCCTCAACACCGCGCCGGATAATATAATAAGGCACCGGCGGCGGCGGCGTCGACAAACGGCGTGACGTGGTGTAAACGAGCGCAATCGGTAACGCCGCCCGTTCCGCCCGCTGCGAATGAGAACGCGTCCCCCTATATAGCTGCTGCGAGTTTGTACGGGGGTGGAAAAAATGAAAAAGGAGAGGAATTCAACTCTACCCGAAACGGTTTACGGTGAAAATGTTGTGCAGGAATCCGGTGGGGGGGGGATGGGCGAGGAGCAAGGGATGGTGGTTCGCGAAGCTTACGGTCGGAAACTTTTATTCGTTTTCGTCGTCGTGAACACGACCGTGTGCCGCCCGGGGAACGGCTGCACCGGCGATTTTAAAACATCGTCGTCGGGACCAATCACGGACGGCTCGTTACGGCGAACGCGATCGGTGTAAGATTGTTATCGCCGCGGCGCAATCGACCGGCGGCGCAACGGTTTGATCATTATTGTTGGCGAACGCAACCCGGCCGCGAAAAATATTCTCGGACGTTTATTCGGGTACGAAATTTTCGTCGTACGGACCGACGGTGGCGCGTACGTATTACGATGACGGTACGTAAGCTACTGGGACGGCGGGAGGGGGAAACGCTTTTTAAACAAATTAAGCGGCCGGTCCGTAAATTAGAGCTCAATTACAGCCGAGCGCACCGCGTGTAACGAATAAATACGTGAAAATGTAACGTGCAGTACGAGCGCACATGTGGTGTACGCGCGTAGAGAGTGCGGCGGAGAAGCGTGAGCGTATCGAACGGGAGTGCAACGTTGTTTGGCGAACGCGGAAATGCGCGTCCGCCGTCGGGGAATAAGTGCCGAGAAACAATTTACGGCACGAGGAAAAAGGTCGTTTACGACGAAAGCCCTGCCGACCACGTGGTCATTTAATTCGGGACTTGGGCCCCGTCGGGGGCGGACAGTGCGCGCTCGACCTGCATACGTGTGCATATACATATATGTGTGTGTGTGCGCGCGCGCGCGCGTATAAAAGTGCGTAAGAAGTGTACGCTGTAAACGTACATGGGCGACCGGTGGGCCGTCGTCGTCGTGAAGGGACGAGCGGTGGCGAGAAAAATTGATCGCGCGGCGGCGGCCAGCGATGGCGAGAGAACGCACAGCGATCGGGACGGAAGGGATGGCGGGAGAGAGAGAGAGAGAGAGAGAGAGAGAGAGAGAGAGAGAGAAAGGATGAGCGAGGGGAGGACGAAGAAAGAGTGTAAGTTAAATAGTGGCGGTGGACGGGTGTGGGGAGGGGGATGGCAGCGATGAATCACACGCACGCGACTTCGGGCGGTCGGGAAGCGGAAGGAAGAGGCGCTCGCGGAGGGCGACCGGCACGCGTAAAATCAATACTTTATTCACACGCACCGTACGCCGCCGACCACGCGCGCCGCACCCACGTGGTGTCCGCCTAGCGACGGCAACGGCAACGGTAACGGCGGCGGCGACTACGACGACCGTTGCGGCGGTATCACGTGCAAGTCGCCCGTTCGGCATTGGCGTTTTCGCGCTGTCCGAGTGAACTTGAAATAGTCGCGGCCGGCACGAGCGAATGCGCCAGCGCGACGCCGTCATCGCCGCCGCCGCGCCGTGCGCACGTCGCGCGAGCGGCCGGCCGGAGCGGAGAAAAACAGTATAAACACCCGCGGGGTTCTTACCCCTTTAACCTTTGCGCGATTGTTTACAACGCAACGCACGCGTAAACACAGTCCTCCTCCTCCTCCGACGACGACGACCACCACGGTTTCCGGGAACACTCGTACGTGTGTACGTGTACAGAGTGCGCGGTGCACGTACACGTTTACGGTTCGTCGTGTACGCGACACGTACACGTATGTGACGCGGCGACTTTTGCGTAACGTTACATCTTTCCCGCCCGAAAACGTTTTCCGCCGGACTCCGAATCTCCGCGCGCACGTGAACCTCACACGGCGATGCCGCGCGATGTTCTGCGCCTGGTACACGTTTCCGTTTGATTCGATTTTTTTTTTTTTTCTTTTTATTTCACTCGTGCACCGCGAACCGTATGCAATCCCGGTGTAACTTTCAGGCTTTTTTTTTTTTTTTTTTTTCGAAAAACTGTTTCCTTTCCGCGGCAATGTCTAACGTGCTTCTATTGTTGATTTTGCATTTATCGTTGTGATGAAAAATGAAAAAAATTATTCATGTTTCTCCGCGTAATCGCCCGCGCTGCTCCGCTTGATTTGAGTTTCGCGTTATGTTGTGCGACGTTTTATCGTGTCGTATCATTTGTTCTTTTAGACATAATCACTTGTTTGGGACGGAAAAAAATACTCCGAAAGATTGCCGTTGCAAACACATTTTAAATATATCTACTTTTAATTCCCTTCGTCAATTAATAAATAGGTTCGTAATTCTCGATCATTGTCGAAACATTATTTTGTAAGAATACAAACATTCGTCACATATACATTGAAAATAATAAAAATGATGCGATGAAATTGCGAAATAAATC